CATCGCTGAATTTCTTGGGAATGAATTTGACTTTTGGCGCATTTTTTTAACCTCCTACCTGTTAAATGACGCGAAATGTGGAACGGAAATTTTACGGAACTATTACGGAATTTTTTCGGAGCGTTTTATAATCTTCATTGATTTATAATCTTCATTTCCCTCTGCGCAGAGAAAAATTCTCTTTGAATTTATTTGTTACATCCAGAAGAATAGTTATTGCAATAACATTTCGATCGAGCATTAACTAAAAATAAAAAAAAAGTTTGCACTGTTGCCCATTTACTAAAAACATGACTTCTGGGTCAAGGAAAAAGATATCTCGATCATTTTTTTATAATCGCTGTAAAAGTCGGATGATATGGTTATCATAATTGTTATTATTGTTAATTTGGCGCATGCCAGTGATACATGTTCTGCTTTTTTAAATTATCATCTGATGATTTCAAAGGTCAAGCTGTCGGTTAAGAACGAGATTGCGGTCTTCTTTCATAACTTGAGGGGAAGTAAAAGGAGACAATACATCGTAGATTACAACTTGTATCGCCCTGACACATTTAGGACAACCCCATGAAAAATCATATAAAAAATATATAATACCATGTATGTACTAGATGAAAGTGCTGCATATATTTCATTCCCAAAGGCAATTCTTCCCGCTATTTTTATACCTAGACATTTTTCTCTACACTGAGAAGAAAATGGTTCTGGCAAAATAATTCAGTCTATAGATTTTTGTCGTCGGCCAATTTACAGGGCAAAAATCATTCTTTTTCTCTGTGTGTTGGAAAAATAGAAAAAAAAATGTGCGATGGCCGGGAATCGAACCCGGATCAACTGCTTGGAAGGCAACTATGCTGACCATTACACCACCATCGCACTTCTTGGAAATTCATTATTATAATTTTCTCACACGTTTTCGCGAATTTATGGATAAAAAACCGGTTTTTATAATTGCAATAAACAAAACAAGGTTCAATTTAAATTCGATGAAATCTATCAAATGGCTGTCCGCATGAAAAAGGCCCACTCTAGCGATTCTAGTTCTGGAGATATTCGAATTTTTCTCATAGGAATAAAAATCGTTTTTTTTTTATTGTCTGAAACTCAACTAGAACTCTTCCTACGTCTAATAAGGCGTGTTGCATCTTCTTATCTCAACGATAAATAAATTATTTTCACTTTTCGTTTCCCAAATATTCAACTTCAAACCTTCACAAATCCGTAATTTTTCAACGTAGGTCCGGCTAAAAATCAGCCAGGATGGCCCTGAGTCAGATAAGGGCTAGCCATGGGAAATATAAGGTGCGCCTTTCAGATTTACCAAGTGGACAAGTAATCAGGACCTTGGTCAGCTGCTATCAGGCCTACCTGCTAAAGTTGGCCCTAAGTCTAGTTTTCAAGGCCATGGTCAGGAAATCGTAGAGCTCTCCTGATGATGCTAGCCTGACTCGAAACTGATTAGACCCTTATCTGCTTATCATAAGGACAGAGTAAACCATTTCAAGACCTGATAATATTGGCCAGATGAGAACTTCCGCCTACCATTGCATTTCAGTCCTGATCTCGCCGCCTTATTATAAAGACCTAGTGAGACGCCTGACAAAATTTCCTCTGGGGATGATCCTGGCTGCATATGAACACCGTAGGCCTTTTTTGTGCGGACGGACACGAATATTTAATTTGAAATATACAAATATTCTTGGGGAAGTCGTTTCACTGGTTTTATTTTGAAATGAGGATAACTCGTGTGATTAAAAGTCGGAAACGAAAAGAGTTTATCATGTATTCCCGCAATGATTCATATTAGAATGAATTTCCACATTTCTCTTCTATTTTTAATATTATTCTTCATTATTTGTTAATCTCTGAATTGATTTCATAAGATTTGCCACTAATTGATTCCACATTTAATTTAATTCCCCAACATGTTTGGGGAAGCAAATATATAATAAATGTAATAAATAATCAATAGGAATATTGAGATAGAAATCAGTTCCACTATTTGGGAATGAATGATTATTCAGAGTTATGCGATTTTTTTCTAAGACTTCTTGATATAAACTCTGACTTTTATCTACATATTCTGCTGCATATTCATTTACGTGATGATACTTATCACAGAAGTTTTAATTTCATGTACATCATCATATTGAAGTAATTTTATATGTATCATTCACACGTGGCAATGAATTCGCACTAACAGCGTTTGTCTATCTTTTCCTACAAAATGCTAATAGACGGTAAATTTAGTAGAGTAAATAGTAGTTGGTAATTTCTACGAGGAAATTCAAGTTCACACGATTTGTTGCACTTCCGTTGTACGGACCCAGCTCATTAATTACGGAAATTTATTGTAATAATGTTTGACAACCTTTCAGCCAAAATCCACATTTTTTAAATATTTTCCTGGCAAATTATTGATGGGATTGACGTGAAAAAATATAGCGATTGGTCATCGTTTTTAAAAGTTTAGAAAAAATGCAGGAAAATATTCACTCCACCTTCGTGAGTCATTAAACAATGACAAAACGCCAAACGTTATATTTTTTCACGTCAATCCCATCGTGAGTTTGCATAAAAAATTTTTTTTAAATGTGAATTCTGGCGGAAGGGTGTACATTCTTGATGCTCATTCACACTTGTGTCGATTATTTGACGATAAACAAAGAGAGATTTGTAATTATTGCTACTGCAACAATAATGTTGAAGCGATCAGTTCAATGTCCATGGAGACACGATTTGTTGAGTCATGTTTGATAACTGAGGCTTGAAGAACTGTATTAAAACATTTCTCGCATTGAATAAAACATTTCATAGAATCTATGCAAAATATTTACGAAAAAAACATTTCAATTCCGTAAGGATTCCATAACGATTTTTATCTTCATTTCACCCAATATTTTTTGCTCCTATTCACAAAGTGCCCATAAAAGTAGGATAAAAATAAATACTTTATATAAATTAAACCGAAGGAAAATTAATGGAATTATCGATATAAATCTTTTTGTAATAAAATAAAATGAATTGTGATATTCAATTTAAAAATACTGAGGGAATGAAACAAATTAATACTGAAATGAAAAAGATGAATACAATGTTTTCCATGCATGGGCAATGGTTCCTTGAAATTCAGAAACATTGACATTTAAAAGTACTGACCAAAAAAGGAAAAAAGATTGGATAAACTTACTCGAATGGTCTTTCCCTTCCTCTCAAACGACTAGCTGGTGTTTTCTTCTCACTCTTGATTCCAAGGTTGACAATGGCTTGGGCCAACTGAAGACTCTCCTCATCCATCTCAAGATCACAATAATTTGAATCAGAAAAAAATCAAATCAAACGAGACACCGGATAAACCGCATGTAAACCGGACGAAATAATTTCTATATTGCGTGTTAAACCTTCGACACTTGAATGTTCACTGATCGGATGAAGTCAGCGTTTAACCTCTCACCAGTGTCTCCCCTTTTAATGCAAAATGCCTTTTAAAGAAAACTAACGTATGTGGAAGTGACATGGAGACACGAATAGACGCACCTTTGCCACTGCTTAGTCGAAAAATGTGGGAACACGAGGTGAAAATTCTCGGAGGGGGAAAAAAAAATGAAATGGGGGGAAGTACTCGGGGAAACGCGGGATTCAAAGGACAATTTGAAATTGAACTTCAACTTCGGTGATTGAGTTTTTTCTTGGAGTCATTGAGAATAATTGGCAATGGCACTTGACTGGCACGCGTAGATTTTTATTAATTTGGGGAGGGGAGATATTGTTTTGATGGAGTGGTGGGTTAGGCTCAAGGCTCTGGAGCACGCCGATCAGCTGATTGCGGTATACGTCACAGAGAGGTGGGGGGAGGTTGATAATGCAGATTTCCACATAATATTTCCTGATTTTACTACTGCTGATTACTCTAATCCCTCATTTAGTTATTTCTCTATTTGCAGTGCGATAAGTGGAGAATATACAATTACTTCATCGGAATCGATTAATTGAAGACGAAAAAATATTGAAAAATATGCAATTCAGTGTTGATTGAGATAAATAAATAATGTAACACTCGATTTAACGTCAGAATGAGATAGATTTATTAACAACGGATTAGCCTGGTTCACACCATGGGACCTGGAACGTGAGTCTAATGGAAAAAGGGCAATATTCGTTAGGTCCAAGGGGTCCGAATTATCGCAAATTATATCGACAATATCCTACGACAAGGATAGCACGGCGTACGACAAATCGTGACATCGGTATGGAATTTTGTTGCTAACCCCAAATCAAAACAATATATTAGACCGGTATAGAGTGAACCAAAGCTTCGCTACAAAAAACTCATGGTCTTTTAATAACAGATAAATCCTAGACGTACATTGTTGCGCACGTCCATAAAGAATTAGCGCTTTGGCGCTGAGAATTAATCATAATAGAATTGAATTGAAGGTACCTTTTGTTTCCGCCATTTAAATCGTTAGAAAGGCGGTCCATAAAATGGCGGAAAAACCAGGCAATCAATCAATTCTTCTCCGATCCTGTGCTACAACTCTGATTGGCTTGACATTCCAGATGCGTTATAAGGAGGTGCCAATCAAAATAGTGCGAAAAAGTCGGATAACTTCTCAATTCTCCTGGTATTTTGCTATAAAACTCCCATTTGATTCAAATTTTGACGAAATGCGCTCTGAATTTTTAAAAATTCTCAAATTTTCGCCAACTTTTGACAGGATCACAGAATAATTGAGGAGGTAGCTGATTTTTCCCGCCATTTTGATTCCTAAAAAGGCGACCGGTTCATTAGACTAATCGCTCATTAAGCAAGAATCAAACATTGAAAAAAAAATTTGTTTCAATGCCCGGGAATGAAATAGAAAATTAATACCAACAATTATTTGAACTAATTTTTTAATCCACTATAAATAATGCAATTGATTTTATTGATTAAGTTTAATAATATATATCTGCTCAATGTGTAATTAATCAATCATTTATTTCATTGAGAGGAGAAAAATACAATATACATTATATACAATGCTTAAAATAAATCTGCATGACCGACAAATAATGTTCATGAGATTACATGGCAATACAGATTCAGTCATTAAAAAAATAATGGAAGATGAAATAAAAAATACTTAAGTTACACCCACTTCAACAATACTTATCAACCACTACGTTAAATTCTCTCGAATACTATTTACATAGAAATAATAATAGAATCTAGCCAGATTTTTTTTTCTCACTCCTAAAATTCAACTTAATCCCTAAACATTTAAATAATCGTCCCTTTGTCATCAAGATTAAAGACGTAAAGATTAAACAGTCTGTAAAAATTCTCACGCTACGTTTAACGTAGAGAGCACCCTGTGTCACTTTTCCTCTTCTCTTGGAAGACATATTTATAAAATCCAGATGCCTCGTCAGTGCTGAGAGTTTCTGAGATTTTTGCAGTTGACGTATGTGACAGCTTCACCATTCACGACTCGAACGTAACGAGAACAGGCTTGAAGGAATATTGCAGGGACGCGTTGATCTGCAATTTGAAAAAACCATATAAATAATTACCACTGAGTATTCAAAAGTTGATAAAAACATTTCATAGTCAAGGACTAATGAGTGCATGCACTGAGACGAGCAACAACTCAACGGTACAGCGATAATCACTTTAACATCCACTGAAACTTTTTACGAACTTTTACCGTGATTGATTTTTCGGAAAGAAATTTCAGTAGCGGACCGGTAAAACGATTCAAAACGATTTTTTTGTAATAAAATTGGTCCAACCTGCAGCTCTAGTTCCAAACGAGCTATGTTGAAATAAACGAAAAAATAATTTGAAAAGAAAGCGAAGTCGACACAGCACTCCCAACTAAAAACACAAAGAGAAATAACTCGACTCAATTCTTGAGCATCAGACAATTCAATCTAAGTCGCCGAGTTTTGGAAGAAAAATGGCTGCAGAACGTGAAACTATCATCTGAATGACATATGAATAACTCAGCCAACATCAAATGAATTTCATTAATTAATTTGCACAAATTGATAACAGTTCTCATTCGTAGCAGATAATCAAACAATTTTTTCCGCTTAAACTGATTTACCGCTCCGGTACTGATTTAGTTGGTTTGAAAAATGATTCTTCTGATATTAGATCGCCTTTTCTCTGGATGCCTTAAAAAAAATCGAAGACATGCATATGAATTGTCAATAGTTGTTATAACATTCAACTCTCATATGCTAGACAAAAATATAAGGAAAACCAGGCAATCATTAGTACTGTTAGCTCACACACTCACATGCCTTCTCATCTGTGTCTTCATCATTGGCATGACATGAATCTTGTTGAACGTATAAAGCGGGCTTGAGGGGTTTCCCATCCTGATCCTCAACTTGCACCAGGATTCCATGATTGTTGCTTGGATGAGGTTGTCTCCAGAATCTCAAAGCCTGCCTCACATCCAGAGCTAGATGACCACCTCCAGGCGTCAAGGGAGTCACCACCGAGTCCATCAGACGTTTCTTAGCTAGTGGAAAGGTAAACGATCGGTAATCGTGATTACATGACATTTCATCCTTTCCACTTCATCCCAATTAAAGGATAGATAGATAGATTTGGGTACGCGGTTGGTCGGACTAGCCTCCCCAATGTCACCAAGCTCAGATTAGAGTTATTGTAGCTCCGCTTGTTTTATGCGCGGATCATATGCACAGCCCGACCTTTGTTGCCAGTCTTAACAGATCCATTGCATCCTTGTTCGCGACTTGATTTGCGGTGGGGAAGGCAGTGCCTGAGAGGCAGTTAAAGGAGATACATGACAAAATTTATCGACTTCCCTAAAAAATCGGATCACAAACGGACACAATCTCCACCGCTATACAGACCTGACTACTGCTTACGGTGAAAGCACGAAACGTATTCTTCACTCTCGTTTATAAATTTATAAAAAAGAAATTGATGAGTTGACAATGAAATTGAATAACTCAATAAGTTTATATGTAGTTTTATGAGGATCAAATGCGTCAGGGATGAAGTGTTCTAGGACCAAATGAGATGATGAAATGAATCCGGAACTGTCTTCGGTTGGACTTTCTAACTTACATCTATGTTTCTTCAGAGACTTTGTGTAATAATAAACGGATATTCTAATCTTCTTCTCTTCTTCTTCATCATCATGTCCTGAAGAACTAGCACTTGTAGATGTAGAGTTCCCCTGGGGGAGTTTGTAGATTCGCAATCTAGCGGCGACAATGTGGTCACTGGATGTCAGATTCATTTCGAAATGCATGTTCATGGAGAACGGGTCTGACCAAGTCTCGAGGTCTGTATTTTTCGGTGCTTCACCTGTGAATCGAACATGGGCTATTGAAAATTTTTGTCTTAATTCTTCGTGACAAGTTGTGGAGGTTTCAACTCCTTTTCTTTATGTTCTAATAATTTTAAAGCAGTATTTTTCCAACAGCTATAGATTATTAAGTTTTTCCATTTTCCCCTGATACTGTTATCTTTAATCTTTATTATTCTCGCTTTCTATAATTTCTTTTGGGTGCTATAATTGCGCTGTATGGGCTCTCCCCTTCTTTTGGACAACATGACGTACAGTCAATAAATGTTTCAATCAATCAATTGCAATTGCTTTACAATTTCATAATTTGTTCACCAATGATTACTAAATACTTTTGACTCACATGTTGGCGCGAACATAGTCAACTTCTCCCTTTGAACTTGATTGTTATTGGCCGTGAGGTTGAATCTTCCCGTCATCGCCAGGACCCTCATTTTAATTTCTTCGATGGCGTTCTGTACTTGACTGCAAAGTTGAATAAACCCTTCATTACTGCAGATACAAAAAGGCAAAATAACAGGCAACGAAAATCCAAACTGACAAAATTATTAAATAAAGATTGTTATAAAAAATCAATAAACACAAAAGGGTAAAATGCATTGGGGCTGTTAATTCTCATCCACAATGAGTTAGAGAATTAGAGACGCTACCGCTAGGGGCGCTGGTGAAATTGGAGAATATCTCAGCGTGAAGTCAGAAAATGTTTATAACTAGTTGGGGCTGGTACGAGGCACACCGAGTTGATTAAAAAATGTGGGAATGAGTGAATGGTCAGTGACCCAGACAGACCACATGGCCACATAGGCATATATTATTATGATCTAGACACCGGCTAGACAGGGAGAGGAAAACCTGAAGACATACAGCCGATTCCATCGCATAATGACTATCACATTTGAATTCACAGGGTATCCTCCGTCCTCTCTCATTCCCACTGACTTATCACAATTATCTCCCTCAGCTTGAGAACGTCTCCCCATTCCTATCCCCATCTCCTTCACCTGGGGTACTTTCCCGCCTTTCATTCCTCACCGTTGGTGGTGGGAGAGATTTATTCATTTTAGTGATTGTCTGGGTGGATAGGGAATCAGTCATTACTCAATTTGTCAGGAATTCTTCGAGTCTTGAATTCTTGATCCGCATGGACAATCTTTTATTTTCGTCAATATACTATCAATGAATACAATAATCAATGTTTTACATATATGTATGTAGGTCTTGTATATGGCTTTTATATATTTTTTATGAGTGGAAAGGCAAAACTTTATTCGGCTTTTCTCGTTGAAATGGAAAAAATTCACCGAAATTCAAGAAAATGCTTTAAATACTCACATTTTATTTTATTAGTATGAAAATAAAAAGTTGAAATTATATTTGTAGATGTATGTTACTAGTAAATAATTCAGGAATTCTAACCGGACAAACGGTTATTTTTACTCTGATCCCGCACGGAACAAATACATATTCCTAAAATATATCTCCTATATATTCTATTTGTACATCAAATATCTACATTACATGATCATCAGAACTATCTAAAATATATCTCAAATACATTAATAAATTAATAGAACCCTGAAACGGCTTGAATATATAAATTAAGAATTGAGCAAGTGGAGAAGGTGTAAAACACATGTCTTGTAACACCAAAGAAAATAAAATAATAATAATTATTATTATCTCAGACACAGCATGTTTAACGAAAAATATATCCGTATATTATTGAGATATATCCGCAGATATATAATTTTCCGGGCGTGATATTTCGATAAAAATTTCCTTGAATTCCTTACAAAATTCCTCTCTCTGGTATTAATTATTCGTAAAGAGGATATTTATTGAAAATTGCTAAACATCCGTAATGACGGAATGGTAAAGGCCATGGAGAGAGATAAACAAAACTCGTCAGTGAAATGATGACATTTGATTCCCCATCCACCGGTCGATCTAGTAACCACCGGCCATTTCTTCACAGCATCCATGTATCATGTATACATATATATATTGAGTGCATGTGTATATGTGACCCGTCTGGACCCCGTCTGGAGAAGAAGACGGGTGATTGGGTGCGAGCCCACCCGTTGTCTCACTCTGGGAGACACGGAATGTTTCACCAGACTCATCACAATTTTTTTTATCATTTTTTCATAATTTTTTCATGATTTTTCCATGATTTTTTATCCTTACAAAGAACCGAAAACTGTGGAAATGAAAACGTTGACCCACATTTCCAAATTCAGAGAAATCTCACTAAAATTTAATGGAGAGCTTCTCGTTTTTTTCCTCTTCTCATTGTCACTTGAAAATTCAATCTGCTATTGGAGATAAAAAAAAGCAGGCCATAAAATTTTTCAATTTATTCGTTGTAAAAAAAATCGTTCTCCTCTGCATGCAAGCCTGGCGGGCTGGCAAAAAATAAACATTCCAGTGGAGGTAATGGTCGAAGATTTTTTACTGCCGTAATTCTTATTATTTTTACTCCCAACGAAATTTCTTCCATCCTGCATGTAGTCAGCATACTGTTTAGCTTTTCTACCCCTCGTTCACAATCACTGCCAGTATTACCTCCATCTTCTTTTGCCAAGCCACGATGCAAGTGCATAGACAAGGTCAGGGCATTAAAATTCACTCGGCCATTGCGTAATACCACCGGTAGGATTCACCATGAGGAACATAACTCCCCCCTAATTGCAGCTGGCATAGACACCTAGTGATTATGGTGGTCTTCAGCAACGATAAAAATTCTATTTTTAAAATTCACCGGTGTGCCAGCGGGATGAGAATAAATTAGAGAAAAAGAAAATCGGAGGATTCGGAGGTAGAGAAATTCAAATTGCCGCTAAAATTTCGACCCTAATTTTTTACTTTTCGGACGTGGAAAAGTAATTGAAAATCATTACTCGAATCACCGCGTGGTGTTCTCCAATTGGTTAAAATATCATTTGCATGTGTGGAATTATTCTGTAGGGAATATCTTGACGGATTCGGATAAAAAATTGATCAACTTCTATAGAATTATCAGCGATGATCTGATATTTTATAGAATTCCTCTCCTATCCTAGAATATTCTAGAATAGAAATTCTGTTCAAAAGTTTTTTTTTTTCATTCTGAAATATTATTTTGTTATAGAAATTTTATAGAAAACTCCATATCATTTTTCCAGGAGAGGAAAAATGAAATGACACGCAAGATGATACCTTTCGCCCGCATTCAATAGCCCCGCAAAATCAAAATAAAATAAAAACAACAGACCGACAAGAGCGCTATGAAAAATTCTCTAGATCCTGCCCCTATAGAGATTATACAGAACACATAAAATCGATTCTCCACCGCATTTTTCTCTTATTACCCAAATTTTCTTTTGCCCCGACTAGCTCTCCCTTCATATTACAAAAATTCTCAAAAAGTCCTAAAAAATTTCTACAGAAATTTCCTAAAATTTCTATAGAACACCGAAAAACAACTTTCCAAAGGAATTTCCCTAGCCCGCGATATTCTCTCTTCGTATTCCAGAAATTCAATAAAATTTCTATAAAAAATTTGTGAAAAGTTCTATAGAATTTCTATAGACTCTAAAATCAACTTTTCCTCGACTTTTTTTTTCAATTACCAATTTCTTTTTTTTTTCATTATGAAAATTAGTCTCACCTGGAATACCGTCTGAGGGGGGTGAGGGGGTGGGGTAGGGGGAGAAGTGGGTGAGAGTGCGCTAACTACGCCAATGCTGGGCGCACGAATGCATTTACGCGTCTAGACTTAATAAAATAAAACAAGTGCCAACGGGCGCGAGAGCTTGGCGTCGTGTGTGAGGGGCAACAAACAAGCGAACAAGTTAATGGGTTGGTGAGGTGGGAGGTGAAATAAAAAAGAAGGGCTCAGAGGGGTGGGGGTTCACTTAGATCCGACACGTGACAATTTTTCTGAATGCCAAAAGCTGAGGAAAAATTGTCAAACCGAATTGTTTTTTTTTCACCATTTTGGAAATTGATAGATATTTGGAAAAGTAAATAGATTGGAGTGACAATGAGTGAGAATGAGACCAAGGGGGAAATGGTTTGAGAATATTGTGGAACGTGTGGAAGATCTGCCTCTGGATATTTTTATCATATTTTTTTTTTTTTTTGAAGGTTCAACGGTTTCAGTCACGCCAGGAGGTCGATATGCCCTCCAATATAGTTTTGGGAACACGGGAGATAAACAATTGGGAATCTGGTTATTATTCGATTGATTTGTCGATCGTTGAGGAGACGATGGGTAAATAAACTTCGGATTTGGGGTGATGATTGGTAAATGCGGGTGAGTTTCAGTTAAAATCGTTAAGTGCAAACGAAAATCGGGGGATGCCCTTACCAAAATAACAGCTGAGCTTACCTGTCGATTGACTGATTCCTTCTACGATTCCAGAAAAAAGACATTCATGTATTGGCAAATCGAGAGACAACAGTGAAGAAATAAAGACAGAAGGAGAAAGATATGGATGGGGTACTCACTCTCGGCGATGTGCAACTGCCAGCTGCTGATAAGCCGTAAAATTGCCGATGGTTCGATTATCGAGATCCTTGTCCTCCTGATATCCGAAGTAATCATCGGTCATCTCGATCGACGAATTCCCAGACTGGTACTCCGCCTCCATCGTTTCATTCTCCTCTTCGTAATTACCGAGTTCATAATTCAGGGCTTCTGGTATCACACGGTAAACATCATCCTCGACCCACTCCAGGCCCTCGTACAAGCTGACCTTTTTGGAGGATTTGACAGAATCATTTGTACCACTGTTATCGAATCCACTGTCTTTAGTTTTGTTCGCTTCATTCGTTTCATTAGTTTCATTCGCTTCATTCGCTTCATTCGCTTCAATCGCTGAGATTTCGACATTCGATTGAACTTGAGGTTCGGCATCAGGTCTCGATGAGGACGAAAGAGTCCCCAGGATCTTCATCCCCTCAGACAATCCAGACTCTCTGGACCTTTCAATGGAGCTCGAGTCAATATCCGAGTCATCGTACCGAATTTTGAAGACCACGTGGGGCTCCATCGCTCGATCGAAATTAGCATGAAACCCACCGTTAGAATTGTCCCCAATTCTTCGTGTTATCAGATCGTAATTCACCGGTGTTGTGTACTCCTCCATCTTATTCCCAATGCTCTCGTAATCCTCGACAGCTTTTCTGTTGAACGCATCGTAGTCAATGGTCTCCTTGAGCTTGTCCTCGGGCTGAAGGATGTCCTTGGAGCCCTCGAGAATCTGTTTCTCGTTCTCCAGAGGCTCCAGCGTGGATTTCCTCCCCAGCTCTCGCTGACGAATGGCAAGGACTTCCTCAAGACTGTAGTTCAGACTCTTCAGGAGTAGAAGATTGGAGTTACTGAGATCGCCGGTTATGATCTTGAGGATGGCCTTCTCCAGCATTTTTTCGAGTCTTCTGGGGCTGAAGGGCACGCGGTCAGGCTGGTCTGAACCCCGGCGGAGGCGATTCGTCGGTATCTGGAGGTCGGACAATTTCTCAAGGGAATCCCCAGGTGTTGGGTGACACCGGACGCACGTGGCAATCAGCAACAGCACGATTACACGGTTTGATAACATTTTCGATGGTTATTGTCACTTGCAGAACAATCAGATTTTATAACTCGATTGGACGATCAGATCGTCTGACCTGTCAGGTCATCTTTCGGTGGTAAGTTTGTCACGATTTTGATGTTGACTAGGGGGATGTTCACCAGGTAAAGGGTTGATGATGATGATGATCTATCAAGGTAGTCCGGGGACTTTGTTACAGAGAGGTGTGTTGACGGTGCGAGCCGTAAGTCTCAACTGAGTCGGCCGGTGCGCCAGCACGAAAGCATAATTCCGTCTACTCGGTGATTCTGGAGAGACACCAGAGAAACGCGAGGAGAAGTACACACCGCGGGAGACCCGTCTAATACTCGGGGTTGGATAACAAAAAATCAGAGTGGAGATCAGCATCCAGACATCATCACTTTTTACCGCGTTACACTATCAAGTACCTTTCCTGCTGCATATCTCCTAAATGAAGGGATACACGTTAATTTTCATATCTATCTTTTCCGTAGAGCAACATGTCAACTCAAAAAATGATCTTTATCAAAATCTCGGTATCTCTCCGCGTTTTGATAATATTCCCCGATAACTGGGTTAGGTCGAATGCACGTATGTGTTTGTCGATCCGTTGCTCAATTAGTCGATTATTCGAGAGATATCTCTGGATCTATCGGAGATAGCGAAATTTTTTGTTAGACTTTTTTTTAGACTGGATCAAACGCTGTAAAAAAGGATCCTATAAAAATTTGGCTAGTTCTTTCGGGTTCGGAGATATTCCTGGAAAACGCTACCATCGGGTGAAGCTTCTGGGTGATTTCGGATAGAGTTTTGGAGTTTTGATGGGATTTTTTAATAAACTAGTGAAAATTTTGGATCGATGTGGCGAGGATGTCTTATTGCCTGTGTCCTTTTATTCATGTACTCTCGACTCGTCTAGACGAATGCAGGTATGATTTTATGAATGATAATGTATCGCTGGAATAAAAAGAAGAGAGAGAACGTATTTTGATGCTGGATTACCAAGGATCATTGCAAACACGTGTATTTCAGTTGACACTGTCATTATCTCATTCGCTTAGACTAGACTGGGGACCTTTCCCGTCTGCCACCCGGAGACCCAATTTGCCTCGTGCACTTCCTCTTCTGTCTATTACTCCATCGTGATTTATTACGCGATGAATCTCTGAGGCACTCTTTCTATTTTCAGATAAAGAATGAAACGGCTTTCACTTCGTTCATTTTCAGGGACTAGAGGAAGGTCGTGATGGAAAATTTCATGACTTAAATCGTCCTGGAGAAAATTATATTCTCACATTCCTCAGGCGTTGACATAAAAAAAATGCACGAAAGGAAATGCTCGAGCCAAAGTTTTGCTTTGATGGACGAATTCTAACGGGTGATGGCTATCTCTGGATTTAGTTGCCGCATCGAGTAATTTTCATTCAAATTTCGTCATTTTTCATGGGGATTCTTCGGGATGTTTCAATTTTCGGGATTTGACAGTCCTCTCATCCGAAAATTCTATAGAATTTCATAAATATCCTATTGATATAATGAAGCCAGTAATTGAAATAATTTAATAATAATTGTAGTAACAACTACAGTTTTTGAACTTTTAAATTTCTACAGAATTTACATAGGATTCCCTTTGGCAATTGTATTAACACTCAGGAACATTATTTGTTTATAAATACGTGATAGGAAATCGTCTATTGAAAAAAACGAATGTAATTTTCGAATTCAGTGTATAGAAATATTTTCTATAGAAATTCTCTAGAAAATAATAATAGCAGTAATAATAATAATTCTACCGACAGTTTGCATTATCATTTTGAATGTACACAATTATAATAATTATTTTTCTTCTATAGAAAATCTGTCAATAGAATAAACAACTGAAAAATATTATTTTTCTTCCTATAATATCCTGTATTAAATATTTTTATTAAACAAACCTCGACGAAAGCTATTCAATCCATCAGCAGAATCAACAACTAACTAATCAAATTTTCTATAAAAATTCTATAAAAAATTTCTAGAATCACCTATAGCTTATGCATATTCAAATACAAGAACAAATATCAAAATACTTAAATCATTTCCAATCATCAATTAATAAAAAATCATCAAAATCAAATGGATAAAAGTACAATTAAAAATACATTAAATATAATCGAATTTTTAATTAATATTCTGTAAAAATATCATGTTTTCCACGCGAACTGGCGGACATTTTTTTTATTTATTTATCAGACAGCCGCGG